CACAATACTATGGTATGTTTGCATTTCAATTGGGTATAAATGAGCAGGAAAAAAAATGATTATTAATTATAATTAATTTTGAATATAATTGATTATGTTATGTGATATATAATCTATTTATAAAATTAATTAATAAGGTTAATTTTAATCAAAATTAAAAAGTAAAATTGAAATCAAGGTAAAACTATGGTTTTGTAAAAATATATTAAAACACCCATGTTATATGTTAAAATTAATTATAAATCTAAAACCATATTTTTCAAAAAATATGCAAACATCAATTATACTTGTTAAAATCGATTATGAATCCAAAATCATAATTTTTTAAAAAATATCCAACCACCCAATACATATCAAAATTAATTATGAACCTAAAACCATGTTATCTCATAAGTTACTATTACATGCTTTTCAATTATATTTTTCTAAAAAATCTATCCAAAAATTATATAAATTATTTCACAAATCATATTTTTGGGTTTATAATTAATTTTGATATATGTATATATATAGGTATTTGAATATTTAAAAAAATATGGTTTTATGTATATATATAATGAGTGTTTAAATATTTTTTAAAAAATATAGTTTTAAATTTATAATTGAATTTAATATGTAATAGAAATGTTTGAACATATTTTATAAAATTATAATTTTAATATCCAAAATTGATTATAGAGGCCATCCAAACAAACATTATGTATACAATAATTATAGTTAAATTAATAAAAAAATACAAGTCTACAGTAAAGTCCACTTTTTACAACATGATGTGGTTGGTTGCTCCAATTTCTTGCAACCAATTCGGCCTCATCTCCCTAGGTTGATTAAATGAACAGGGCCCAGAAAAATGTGGTGGCCAGAAATTTGAATATGCTTTTTAAGTGGGGTCAATTTTAATTTTTCTATTAATATAATTCTTCCTTTAATTCCTTCCTATATAATATTGCCACCACCATTTCCTCCTTCACAAATTAAACCCAAACACACACACACACACACACACTCTCTCTCTCTCTCTCTCTCTCTGATCATCACTTCAATCTTCTTCTTCCTCTTTCTCTTCAACCAGCCATGAATTTTCTCGTCGATTCCGACTCGCCAAACACCACTTTAATGGAATTTCACCTCCAAACACTAATCTGCAACAACGGTCTTCAACTCCATCACCAAAATTCCCAGATCAACCCTTTTCCTCTTCCTCAGCTTCAGGACGTGGCGTCTCAGTCGACTTCCGACGAAGCGGAGGATCAGATTCAGGGGAAGAGCACGGCGGCAGTGGCGGCGAACGAGAGGAGACACAGGAGGATGATATCGAACAGGGAGTCGGCGCGTAGGTCACGCGCCAGGAAGCAGAAGCAGCTGGACGAGCTCTGGTCACAGGTTGTTTGGCTGCGGAGCGAGAATCGCCAACTCCTGGATAAGCTTAACCTTGTCTCGGATAGCCATGACCGAGCCCTTCAAGAGAATGTTCGTCTCAAACAGGAAGCTTCTGAGCTGCGTCAGATGCTCTGTGACATGCAGTTACAATCCCCTGCTTCTCAACTTCCTTGACTGATCAATATTGATTCTGAGTTGCAATAAGGAATTAAATATAATCCATCTTCTAAGTTATTGCTCTTTGAATCCCAATTTCTCTTTGACATTTTTTTTTTTAATCTCATCACTCCAATACATGAGAATATTAGTGCCATCTGTCTAAACTAATCTGGATTTCACTGTGTAAGACTGCTATTATTGATGATGGCCTTGCAAAATTCAAACCCAATCCATCAGTTGAATAAACTACTTTGACTCTCTAGCAAGTTGAATATTATTCATATTTAAATTTATTAATTATAAGAAGAAAATATAAAATTAAAATTTTTTATTTAAATAAAAATAAAATTATAAATTTATTCTATTTTTAGATAAATTTAATAACTTAAACATATTTTTTTTAATTTTAGTGAAATTATTAGAGGTAATAAGAGTACGTGCGGAGATTTTTTTTTTTGTTGATAAAATAGAGGTGATATTTTAATTAACCAAAGTTTGCATTACATGGTCCTTTTTTTTTTTTTTTGGTTCACTCTCACTATCTAGATATTTTGTCATTTGAGTTGATTTTGGATATGCTTACGTCTATGCATATCAGCGATAATTGAAATTTGACATGATTGTCCCCGGACAACTTATACCATGGTAGGCCATTGCATTTACAACTTACCCTTATACTAAAAAAAAAATCTTTATTTTTTTTCTTTTGGGAAAGGTGCCTTAAACAACTGAGCATGTCTCAAATAAAATTATTTTTAATAAAATAATATCCATAAATGATAAAAATTATTTTATTTATCAAAAAAATGTGACTAATATCTTTTTATAAGTAAATTCTGTTATATGATCATGTAGAAAGTGAACATTCTATCTGTTGTGATCATAACATATCTAGAAAAATGTACATTCTATATCCTCTATTTTCACAATTAAGCTACAACATCTGTATATAATCCATTTTAATTTTTTTATAAAAATATCAAATATATTAACATCATAAAAAGAACAAGAAATTCATGATGTAAAAGATTATTATTATTATTATTATTATTATTATTATTATTAATTGGCCAAAAAAATATTTTTATTATTATAATAGTGTGAGGCACAAATTTATTACTAAAACTCTGTGTTCAGATCAATCTATTATTGAATTTCTTTTGAAACTAAATTAAAAGGAGTCTTTTTAAAGACATTTTTTTAATATATATTTATACATATGAACTTGAATTCAAGTCATCATGTTTAAGCATAATCTAACCCTTTATGTTAATACTAACACATGCTTATATTTTGTCCCAAGTGGTGATATAACATTTGGATTTATATTCGATGCCGGGAGGAAATGGTGCATTACAAGCGTGGAGCAATTTCATTTGTTTGATTATTTCCAAATATCGGTATTGAATAAATATTTTTTTTGAAAAATTAAAAGGTTTAAACATACAATAATAGTATATTGAAAATGATGTAAAAGTCAAAATAATTAGTATACATAAAATAAAATTATTAATATGTTATAAGTAGTGCAGCTTATTTTAAAAGGGAAATATTCAAGAATTAATAGATTCTAAAATTTTATTAAAATTTCTTAATTTTTAATTGATATTAATTTTTTACATAAAATGACTGAATTGCTCATAAACTATAAAAAAAAAAAAAAAAACCATCCCACTGTTGTCAACATTGGCCACTGAACCGTTAGAGTCATTGCTACTGGCAACGTCGGCCGATGACACTTTTATTTTTTTTAATTGGCAAAGGTTGTTGGAGGTTTAATCTCATAATTCTTTGACTATTTAAAAAAACTCAATGGCCACCAATATAGAGTAAATAAGTTTTTAAATTATTTTTATATTATAACGTAATGGTGTGCAGTTAATTTTAAAATGACACATATTATTTTATTAATTTTACTTATTAATTTAACATGATCAATTACAAATTAAGAGTTTTAAAATTTCATGTATTTTACTTGTTAAAATCTGAATGTATTGGTATTAATTACGACATTATTGTTATCAAAATGTAAATGTCTGTTTGTTGATAAATGAATAACACTTATATAATAAAGCCCATCTTATGAGTTTTTTTTTATCAAAACCTAAATGAATTGTTAATTTCAAACGAATTATTGTTAAAATATGAATAGATATTTATTGATAAAGGACTAATATTTTTATAATTAAATATATTCTATCTGTTTTTCTAACTTGTTAAAATTTAAATGAATTATTGTTAATTTTAAATAAATTTTTATTCATACTTAAATGGATACTTAAATACAAAAAGGCAATGACAATGATTCCAAATTTGAGGCTTTTATAATTCCCTATTAGTCAAACAAAATAGTTGACATTTATCATTCTTGATCTTCCATACCCATTTAAAATAATTTAAAATTTTATTATTTTTCATTGCAAGTTTTGAAAAATTTGGACCCAATGCAAGGTTCATCTTTTCTCGCCAACACTTAGTTACCATTAATATACATTTAAATTTTAATAATAATTTATTTAAAATTAACAATAATATACTTGAGCTTTAACAAGTTATAAAACGGATAAAATAAATTTAATTGTACAATTGTTAGTTTTTATTAACAAGTATCAATTAGAGCTTAATAATAATTGCTTGAAATTAATAACAATTCATTCAATTTTTAACAAAAAAAGCTAAAAAGATGAGTTTAATTATATAAGTATTAATCATTTATTAATAAATATTTATTTGCGTTTTGACAACAATCATTTTTTGATTAACAACAATATATTCAAACTTTAATAAGTAAAATGCATAAAGTTTTAAAATTTTTAATTTATAATTAACCATATCAAATTAAAAAATAATATTAGTAAAATAACATGTGTCATTCTAAAGTTAACAATACACCATTATATTATAACATGAAAGTGATTTAAAAACTTAATTATTACATTTTTCTGTTATATATTATTAAATGTATTTGTAGACTACCAAACTTTTTAAATAGTTAAGAGATTATGAGATCAAACCTCTTAGCTACTTTTGCCAATTAAAAAATAATAAGTATCACCAATGCTAGTATTTTAGTGACTAGCTATTAGTGATCTCGTTAGCAACAAAGTTTCTAACGGTGGTCTGGTGATTAATTATAATAGGAATGACTTTTTTTGTTATTTTATATTTTAAGAATAATTTAATCATTTCATATAAAAATTAATATATGTCAAAGATTAAAGGATTGAAGTTAAATTTTTAAATTATTAATCGTTAATTGATATAAATTTGCTACCGTGTCGTCGGTTGATATTTTTTCTATTTAACCTTTATGAAACACGCTAGGCAATATTTGTACGGAGCGAAATTCAGGGGATGAGATTGAACAAGAAGTAAACTGTGGAGTTCAAATATGAATTTTCATAATTATAAATATATGAACGGTGCCGTTTAAGCTGTAAATTCATTGAAGAATTTACGAATTGACCTGTTTTCTGGACTCCCTACTTCTCGGCGTCAAGCTCTTCGTAGTTCACAGTTCCCTGATTCTCTAATCTCGACAGCGGCTGCCACGTTAAAAGGTTTATCTTTGCCCCTCTCTCAATCTCAATCGCAGTTCACTGTCCCTCATGCAATTTTCGAAGACCGTTATGCAATTTTTGTTTTTCTCTTCATTTTTTTCCTGTTCGTTTCTGTAGTTGGGGGATCCATGGCTTCTAAAATGGAAACCGAGAATTCTACCGATGCTTCTCCGTCCTCGTAGGCACAAGTTCCCTTATTTCTGCTTCTTTTGGCATTTATTTTATATAACTGTCATTGTAATTTTAGTCTTCTCCTTCCTGTGTGTTGCCCCGTTTTCTCCATTGGAAAAATTATGGTATACTAATGGATAATCGAGGCTGTTTTGGTTCAACAAATGAAAAAAAGGATAGATGTTATATATAATATTTACAAATTTGGGTTCAGTGGATTGGTTGTACTCAAATGACTAATGGTTATTGCATTCCCGGTTATTGCATTCCCTTCAGGCCAAAGAATATATACAAAGATCCAGATGACGGCCGGCAGCGATTTTTACTTGAGTTGGAATTTGTTCAATGCCTTGCTAATCCCACCTACATTCACTGTATGTTCTTTTTTTTTAAACCTTTTTTTTAATTTTTATACTTTGCTTTAAATGCTTTGGGAATTTAGGCTACATTTAGCTAGCTGCATCTGCAGCATCATTTACATTAAAAATAAGGGTTTTTATTCCTTTTAAAGTAGGAAAAAGGTGTGGAAGGAAATTCTCAGTGGTTGATGTATGCCCTTTCATGTATATGTTTTTGTGTTATGATCAAAATATTTTACTGAAAACACACTGATATTACTGATGACAATCAAAGTTGAAACTTGCGGTCACATCATAAAGCTAAGCCACATTACACAGAAATAAGAGAAACAGAATAATCACAGAGGGGAGAGAGAAATTATTCAGAGAGAGACCACGATGCAACCCTCCTGGCGCTTTTTCATTGCTATCTATCCTCACTTCTTCCTTAACCCACTTCACATCCCCTAAGCCCATTCAAACAAGCAGCTGGCCCCTTTCTCAAGGTCCAAATCCTCATTAATGCTAAGCCCATTCATTACATTACTCCCCCCATGGACATCGTCCTTGTCCTCAAGCCATTGATCCAATGAGACGTCCATGTTTTAAATGTAGAGTTAGTGCAGGCACCTATCATTGTAAGTTGATCGTCAGTTTGGAAGGAACACCTTCTACATAATATGGGATATGATAAATAAACTGTGTTAAGTCAAAGGACACTTTAATCAGCAAGGCTGGTCATGTGAAAATTTTAGGCAAAGCTTCACCCAAATGGTTAACCATTATTGCAATATATTTTGTGAAGTGCAGTTGTACCATGAACTAGTTATACATGTAAGCCAAGTCCCAAAATGCTACATCTTCATTTGATTGTGATATTGACATAACCCCTAGGAAATATAGAGATACTCCATTGACTCTTCTGGAAAGTCTGGTACTTGTCCCCATAAAGCTTGACTACTTCAACATTTGCAAGAATCTAGTAGTGGAAAATGAGGGGGGGGGGACCATGTATCCAACGCTGTACCCTCTCATCAAATTCTGCAAAATGCTTCACAATGCTGGGATTAGAAAACACTATATTTGTCTTTAAAAATGACCAGGTAAAATAGAGTTACAAAGGGTTGTAATCCTTAGAGCCTTCTTCTAAATATGTGTAAGAAAATCCCTTAAGTATATATTTGAATAGTTTTACCAATTCAACACCTGGAACACAAGAAAAGAGAACTGGAGGATGAATAAACAAGCCTTTGATATCTGTGATATAGTTGTGCTAGAGATGATAAAAATTCCATTATTGAAGACAGTTTTTTTTTTTTTTTTTTGTATGTTCTGCTTCAAGAAAAATGGCTTTGTGTCTTTGTTTAGCAGCTGCAGCTAATGAAGTAGGACAATAAGCTCTAACATTTCCTCCTCAAAAGCATAAATAAATTGGTCTGTGATGCTCGATACATGCAAACTGAAATCTGTTTTGATATACTTATGATTATGAGGAATGGTATTGGTTATCACAATCAAAGGATGACTACCATTTATTGTAAAGAGTAAAAATTAGTGCATGATAAAGTACCATGATCCTTTGACCTTCAACAAAATCCAAAGAGAACGAGCAACCAAGGACAATAAATTGAGCTGTGAAAGGATGTGTCAAGTATCAAGTAGAAATTAAGCTTTGCTCTTACAAACAATGAAGTCTTGAACCTTGGTCATGTGTTGCACTGCCACTGTGCAATTCATATAGGCACTGCAATTTTTGACAACCCAACACAAATAACAATTTGGCACTTCAAGAGAGCAATTGAAGCAATGCATTACACTAATTCACTATAAGGAAATAGCAGCAAGGAAGAAATAACAGGAAGAGGAGAAGCAGAATAATCACAGGGAAGAGAGAAATTGTTCAGAAAGAGGGAGAATGAAAATCCCTCATGCTGCTCCTTGCCCTTTTTCATCACTTTTAACGTCACTCCTTCCTTAACCCATTCCACTTCTCCTAACCTAACCAAACAAGCTGCTGGCCCAATAGTCACTTTCTCATGGTCCAAATCCACATTAATGCTAAGTCCATTTCATTGCTTTTTGTAAACTGCTTGACCGCATTAATACATGCTTTACAATTGAAGAGGTATGAATTTTCCGACTTCTCCTTATCTCCATGGTTTTCATTAGTCCATGCATTTTTACAGCACAAAAACTGGGGGAAATCAGAGTTTCCAGTATTAAAGAAAATTTAACTGGTATTAGAGAGTTGATGTTTATTCAAAGACTTCAGAAAAGTTCGAACAACCGATATATAATAAAATGTACCTTCTACCGAAGTGTTTCTGCCTTCTGAATGTTCTGGCACTTGCACTTCTTTTAAAGGACTATATGAATTATTTGTTAACTGTTTTAGTGATGCTTCAACTTGTTTACGTTTAATCCTGCCTTCTAGTGGCCTTTGGATTGTTAAGTTCTATTTCACTTGGTTTTCTCATTTTTCTTATTTTATGATGTAAGAATTATTGTCCCTTCTCCCCACCCTACTCCTGATTTGCCCTAGAGGCCCCGTGTGGTATGACTAAATAGTTTTTGATGGAATCGGAATTGAAATTAGAATTGGAATCGAAATCAGAATTGGAATAGAATTGGATTTTAAAAATATGTTTGGTATGTGAGAAAAAATAAATGGAATCCTTGTATTATTTTTGTTTGGTATGTAAGACAGGAAATGGAATTATGCTTAAAAGACAAAAATACCCCTAAAAATTAAAATCAAAATTAAAATGTATTAATATTGTGATTTAATTTCTCATATACTATTTAATATATAAATGAAATATTATATAGATGATGGATATTAAAAATAAGTAAAATATTTTTAAATGAAATATTATAAATATTTAAATTATATATAAACACATACACATATGATAATTTATATATATAAAAATTTGAATTGTCTGAGTTGGGCATTTTGAATTGGGCATATATATATATATATATATATAAATAAATGAAAGCATGAGTTGAGCATTTTCAATTGTTCACTGTGCGACTGTTTGCATGCTCAATTTTTTCGGTATTAATCACAAATGAGCAAGGGCATAGTTGTCTTCTATTTTTATATGAGGATAAAATTGCCTTCAAAAAATACAATTCCATAGAATTGCTCCAATTCCATAGCTCCCATCAAAGAATTCAATTCAACCTTTTTTGCTTGAATCAAGATTCTTGAGAATTTAAATTCACATGTATCAAACATCATTGTTTTATGATTCCAGCTTCAATTCTTTTTCCATACTTGTGATTCCACTCTACCAAACACAGCCTAAAGGAATAAAGAGATGATTTCATATAAACATTAATTGACTTCCTTATATAATGGAAAGATGATTAAGATTCAAAGAGTTGCGTACTTTTTAAAGTTTATTTTACCTAAAATTTCGTTGTTTGTTTTACAAACTTGACTCCTTTTTTGTAACTTATGTTTCTTTCATTATATATACAGTTAACAGTTTATACAGTAAAAAGAATAGATTAATGGATAGGATAAAACATATGAAATACCATGGATTTAATACATGATCATTTCTACATATCTGATTGAGATTACTGTAGCAATATGTTATTGTGACTCCAGAAAAGATCCATTAAAGGTGAGAGTGGAGGAAGGAGGATTTGGTTGGAAAATGAAATTGAGACTGATGTGATGTTGTTTTCAGTTTTCACATGGTTTGTACTAAAGAGGTGTAAATTGTAAAATAAGTTGATCATGACTTTATGTGCCCTTGGATTCAGAAACTAATCGTTTTGATAGGCTTGGGAATTTCCCCTTCTCAGCGTTTAATCTGATTCTTGATCCATCATTTCACAGATTTAGCTCAGAATCGATATTTTGAAGATGAAGCATTCATTGGATACTTGAAGTACCTTCAATATTGGCAACGACCTGAATACATCAAGTTTATTATGTAAGCATTATTATGAACTTGTCCCCCTGAAACACATACATATACAAGGCCCTTCGACCAGGGGATTTCCCAACCTTGAGTTACGTTGATCCTTAGTTCAATCTGGAAATGATTGTTTTGTTAATCCACTGACTCATTTTTTCTGAATGTTAGGTATCCTCACTGCCTTTTCTTTCTTGAACTTCTTCAGAATGCAAATTTTCGAAATGCAATGGCGCATCCTGGTAATAAGGTAAATACTGTATCTTCACCTGGTAACAAATCCTGTCTTTTCTCCTCTCAAAGATGCATGTGGGATTGATTCTCTTGGGCTGTTGGGTCATGAACTTAGAGATTTTCACCTTTTTGTTCTTGTCTAGTAACATAGTATAAAGGTGAAAGGTTATATTTTGGACCTACTTTATCTTACTTATCTCAATTCACAATCAGATGATCGGTATGGTTTATGAATTACAACAACCTTGAAGTCATTATCACTGTAGAATTAGAGACTTAACATATGTCGCCATTGGACTTTCAGGAACTTGCACATAGACAACAATTCTACTTCTGGAAGAACTATAGGAACAATCGATTAAAACACATTTTACCCAGGTCACTTCCTGAATCTAGCACCACGCCTGCACCTCCTGCGGCTGCCTCGACTCTGTCTCAGCTGCCGGTGCCTGCTCTGCCAGCAGTACCGGCTGCAAATGCTCCAGTGACGATATCATCTGCTCAGGCTCTTTCTCCAATGCCATATGGTATGCCGCCTGGATCCTCCCTTGCAAAAAATGATATGAGGAATCCTGCACTTGATCGGAGGAAGAGAAAGTAAAATATTTATTTCATTCATGAAATTACTCTCTTCTTTGAGAGGAACACAATACCCTTTTAATGTTTCTCAGATTTGTGATAGAACAGTTGTTCTTTAACTTGTGTGCCCACCGGATATTAGAGGATCTGATATGTAAATAGATTAAAAAAAAAAAGATTTCAAAATCATAAAAAGTAACTTTTAAACTTCAATTCTTCATGTTTTGGAATTATAGTTTCTATTTTTTGATTTTTCATGTTATGTACTAGCTTGTCAACCCTTCTATGCATTTACTGAGAAAAGTATTCATATGTTGGGGTTTACGATGGCAATGACGTCATAATAATAGTTTACTATTATATTCTTTTGAGCTTTGTCAATTACGAATGATGAGGAAACACAACATATGATCCTGAGGAAGATGCATTTAGTTTAGCATTTTAACAGATCAGATCAAGAAGACTACTGGATGAGCCAGACTTGAAAAATTGTCTTTATAATAATTGTAAGTACTGCTTTAGAAAACTAGTCTGACCTAACGTTGAACATAAAAATATTTGTAATCTTTACTTGAAAAATAAACAATAAAAAAGCACTGGAGTCCCTGTCGAGTTGTTTTTTTTCTTGGGCCAAACCTTTTGATTATGAGTTTTGACTATATGATATTTACGTTCGGGTCAGCTGAGGAACGTGAAACAAACATAAATTGAATTAAAAATACCTCGAACAGTTTACCAAACCAAAAAGGGTTGAGGGGGGGGGGGGGGGGAAGGCTTCAACAGAAGTATAAAATTCTTCATGCCCCATTAATATAAGGAAAATGGAGAGATGGCTACCAAAAATTGAAAGCATATTATATAACTGACGAAGTTTAAATTATTTCTAAACAGATCTACTGAGGAAGTTCTTTGTTTCCCGCCTAGAAGAGACGTGAATCGTGGGATATAATCGGAAGGTTCTAGTTCTTCATAGCTTTGTTAGTTTGATGAACTTCATTAGAAAGTTCTGAAACAAAACAAGAGAAGCCCTTACAAAATGATGATAATTATATTAGGAGGATATTTTGAAAGGGTTATTACATATAATTACTTGTTAGTATTACATATAATTACTTGTTAGGACTGGACTGTCTCCCAGAACAGGGAAGAATAAATTATCTTCATAATTTAACAAAATCTCAAGATTCAAATTTTTTCTATTTTATTATATATTAGTTATAAAATTTAACTTTAATTTAAGAGAAAATATTAATAAAGACTCACTGACCGAACTTATTTTGGATCAAAACTTTTAAATTTTTGAAATATCACTGCAATTCAGGTGTCCTGATTTGATATTAAATTTCTAAAAAAATGACAAAATTACCCCTTGTTTATATATAAGAACTGTCCTACTTCACTCATTTATTGCTCTACTTCACTTATTCATTTACTTATGAAATATTATTCATTTCCCTACTTGTTCATATCTCTAAAATAAAATTAAATGAAAGTATGGAAATGAACAAGAGAAGTAGGACAATAATAATACTCTGTAAATAAATGAATAATATATAATATAACAATCAACAAGTTGATATAAAATGATTTAAACATTTGGAACAAAATCAAATGAAGTAGGGCAATGAATAATATCTTGTAAGTAAATAAATAAGTAATGTATGATAGTTTTGATATTAATTTAAATAAGAAAATTTTTTTTCATTTCTCTCCAAAATTTAATACTCCATCCGTCTCAAATTATAAGACATATTTGGAGGAGATTTGTTATTTCAAAATATAAGATATTTTGAAATGATTAAAATTTCATTAAATAGACTTATTTCAATATTATATTTTCTCTTTCTCTATTAATACTAATTAAGTGTATATTTAATGTTATTAAATGAAGGGTATTTTTAAAAATTTATATTTTTGTTTTAAAAAAATAAAATTGTTAAGTGTATTTAATAAAGTTTATTAGTATGTAAAATTCTATTTAACAGTATTTTATAATTTGAGATGAATATAGTATTAAATCGAGACATCTAGATTGTAGTGATATTTTAAAAATTTAAGAGCATTGATTCAAAAAAAAAAGTTTAATCAATGAGTCTTTATTAATATTTTCCCTTTATTTAATGTGATACTTCGAATTCACCCCACTTAAATGACGTCACTATCTTCCAATGTTACGTATGAGAAGACAATGCCAGGTTGAAGCATGTACACCATACTATACCTGCAAACCAGACCACTAATTGGCCAAAAGCTGAATAAATTTAAATTTAAATTTAAATTATAGCTGAGAATAGTTTATGGGTGCTAAGGAGAACAAAAAAAAAAAAAAAACAAAGTTTGAAGGACGAGAATAAAATCCAAGAATACAGAAATAATGACAGTTAGTATAATTATTAAAAAAATAGGGGCTAATTTTTATTTAGGGTGCTTTCGTAATTAATAGATCACGCTGATTCATTGGATGACCAGGAAATTAGAATAGGATTGTGTGGGGGTGAGGAAGCAAGGAAACGGAAAAGATTAAGGGAGAATTACAATGAGATTTTATACAAAAAAAAATTAATTATTATAAAATTTATTGATAATTAAACTAAATTATATTAACAATATTGATTGTATTATCAATAAATTTAATTCAATTATCAATAAAATTTATAATAATTAATTTTTTTATGTAAAATTTTAATGCAATTCTTCCAAAGAACATGGAATCTTCAGTAAAAAAGACAAACTCATGCCCGATTGCCATTGGGTTCAGACTTGAGCTTAGCCGCTTTGAATCCAGGTAGTCCACCTATTTTTACTCTTGTTCTATATTTATTAAAATAAAAGATTATGAGAGTTTTTATCAAATGTGACCGTCCAAATTTAGTAAAAGTGATTAAAATTTAATATTAAATTTTTTATAATTTTAATATTAATTTGCATTATTTATAAATAGTGAATTTATAAAATTATAAAAAAATTTAATTTTTAAATTTAGATCATTATATTGAATCTGGACCGCCTGAATTGGTAACGATTTTTTTTTATAAATTTTATAATTTTTTTTCGAAAATATAAAAGGAATATTTTAAATCTTAACTGTCCAGCCCTGCCACTGTGGAATTCCATCTGCGGAGGCAATCCAACTCCCTCTTCTAGTGGGAAAATCAACGGTTTTGATTCATTCAACGATCTCCACCAGCTCCTTTCAAATTTCCACCAACTCGGCCACCCTGTTGGGTGTACAATGTTGACATGAGAAATTGATTGTGCGTCCAAAAAAGTTGGTTGGTCAATGGTGATGTACACCGTCAGCTTGCAAGATTGCATTATATAACCATTATGTCCTCTGTTCTCTGTGATACCCAGATCTGAAGTTTTCGTAATTCCCTATTTTCAATCTGAAGCTGGACGAAAAAAAATCGAAATTCAGGTTTGTATATTCTGAAGCTTTAGTTTTGTCTTTGCTTTGAGCGTAGCTGGCATATACCATTTTTCTTGCTATGCTAGCTCTGAAATGGCAAATCTCCCAATCTTGCCCTTACTTGATTTGATTGCATCTGATTTTGTTTCTGGAAACTAGTTTCTTATTGATGAATTTGGTGGCAAATATAATCTATTGTCTTCATGGTTGGAGTGTGTTTGCTTGACCATTCTCTTGGTGATACCGGTATGCATGATTTAGACACACTTCCACTTATAATGATTTGCTGTGTCCTCTCTGTGTGATTGAGATTTTGGCATTTTACAAAATCTGGCTGTTGTCTGTTTCTGCCGAAATGAAGCTATTAATTTGATTGCTATTCATTAACTGTATTTGGAGCACTTGCTATCACCCTGAGGAACTTTACCAAATATTTATTCAGTATCTGTTTGTATTTTGTGGGCTTTGAAGTTATAATCCTTGGTTGGCTGTGGAAAGTTAAAAAGTATAACTAAAACTTTTTAATAGTCTGGTTGGTACTAACCTTTAGCATTAGTGAATTACTGAATAGGAGCTCATCTTTTGTTTATTGGTACAACCTTAATTAAATTTAGCAGTGATTGAGAGAAAGGCATTCTGCTATTTGAATGTTGTGTTCTTAATGCCTCTTGGGAATCTCATACCTTCTGGATGTTTTCTGAGAGAGAATTAAAGGACGCACACCACTCTCTTACAATTGATTTTTTTTGGGGGTGAATTTTAACAATTGAATTTTAGTGACATAATATTTGTTCTTGAGATATGTCAGTTTAGTTTTTAGAAGTAGTTGTCATGTTGGGTAGATGGCTTCATTAATTCCAATAAAAAATAGTGACTTCAATAATTATCTACATTTGTCATAGCCCAGAGAAGTTATTTTTCTTCAGATAATTCAGAAAAGTTTTCACTATAATTTTTCTGTAAATTTGTACTTTTTATGCTTTGTCCTCATGTCCATCAGCAAAAATTTGACAGGAAGGAAATCAATTATGGCTCAACCCACAAATCTCACAAGGATTGGCCTTGCTGGACTGGCTGTAATGGGCCAAAATCTTGCCCTCAATATTGCTGAGAAAGGATTCTCCATTTCGGTGTATAACCGAAGCACATCCAAGGTTGATGAGACTGTTGAACGGGCAAAACAGGAAGGAGAACTTCCTCTTTATGGTTTTCATGACCCTGAATCTTTTGTCCTTTCCATTCAAAAACCTAGGGTCATAATAATTCTTGTGAAGGCTGGAGCACCTGTTGACCAGACTATTAAGACCCTATCTGCATTCATGGAGAAAGGTGATTGCATCATTGATGGTGGTAATGAGTGGTATGAGAATACTGAGAGGCGTGAGAAAGAAATGGCTGGATTGGGTCTTCTCTATCTTGGGATGGGAGTTTCTGGTGGGGAGGAGGGTGCTCGAAATGGTCCCTCATTGATGCCTGGTGGTTCATTTGAGGCTTACAAATACATAGAAGATATTCTTCTCAAGGTGGCAGCTCAAGTCCCTGAAAGTGGTCCCTGTGTGACATATGTTGGTAAGGGTGGATCTGGTAACTTTGTGAAGATGGTTCATAATGGAATCGAATATGGTGACATGCAGCTGATTGCAGAGGCTTATGATGTACTGAAGACTGTTGGAAAGTTGTCAAACGATGAACTACAAAGCGTCTTCTCAGAGTGGAACAAGGGAGAACTTCTAAGTTTCCTGATTGAAATCACCGCAGATATATTTGGAATTAAGGATGATAAAGGAGATGGCTATCTGGTTGACAAGGTTTTGGACAAAACAGGCATGAAGGGTACTGGTAAATGGACTGTACAGCAAGCTGCTGAATTATCAGTTGCTGCTCCTACTATTGAATCTTCTTTGGATGCTAGGTTCCTTAGTGGGTTAAAGGAGGAAAGAGTTGAAGCTGCAAAGGTCTTCAAATCAGGTGGCTTTGGTGATATCTTGACTGATCAGCCTGTGGACAAGCAGAAGTTGATTGATGACGTTAGGCAAGCTCTTTATGCTGCCAAAATCTGCAGTTATGCACAGGGAATGAATCTGATCCGTGCAAAGAGTATTGAAAAGGGGTGGGATTTGAAGTTGGGAGAATTGGCTAGGATTTGGAAGGGGGGTTGCATCATAAGAGCAATTTTCTTGGACAGAATCAAGAAAGCTTATGACAGAAATCCAAGTCTTGCAAACCTTTTAGTGGATCCTGAGTTCGCAAAAGAGATGATCGATCGGCAATCTGCTTGGAGAAGAGTTGTTTGCCTTGCCATCAACTCTGGCATTAGCACCCCGGGTATGTCTGCTAGTCTTGCTTATTTTGATTCATACCGAAGGGAAAGATTGCCAGCTAACTTAGTACAAGCTCAACGAGACTACTTTGGCGCTCATACATATGAAAGGATCGATGTGGAGGGGTCTTTCCACACTGAGTGGTTCAAGCTTGCCAAACATACAAGGACCTAAGGTTACCCACATTTATGCACGCATTCAAACTCCGAATAAATGTAACATTTTCTGCTCAAAATATATTTTGAGTGGAGCTTACATAACTGCAATGTGGTGAAATTTTGTTTCATTATATCCATCTAAATTACTCGGTTTTGTAGTTCCATTTTGTTTAATGATATCTATGCTCTGCTGATCCCGCTGAATGTTTTTGCTCCGATCAATAATCCCTGTTCATGTTGCCTTTCTTCGTCTAAGAACATGAAGTCTCAGGAGATGGATTTTCAATTATGTTTAATGCTTTGTCCTTTTCTTTTTTTCTCTTCTGTGGACGGTAGGCTTCAGGCTGATGCGTTGTCTCTTCAAAATTTGCAGTGTCAATACTGCCTTGGTTTGCATTTTACTATAAGAACTTTGAGAAAATACTAGAATGAATGAATAATTCTGTGTCATGAGCAATAGCACAAAAAGCCAAGGCCGTTGATACGAATTACCCAGAAAACTGTGTAGTTTACCAGGTGCTTTTAACTTAGCATTGTGACAGTACTAATGTAGTTTATTACGAAGTACAAACACCTCAACAAATTAGTTGTTGTTTTATTCCAACATTCACGGAACACATGTGCGACACTTAAAATTACTCAAAAAAAAAAAAACTTAATTTATTTATTATATTGTGATCTTGTCTGTACCCATGTTCAAGCCTCTCATGCCAGCAATCAGACCTCTGATTATTTAATAAAACCTGGGAAATGTGACACATGCTAATTCATGAACACAGAAAAAGCATTTTACGTTTTATCTATGGATAGTAATTACAGCATAACAATGAACTTAGGACAAACATGACAACCTATGTGACCTTCTGTTATAATCTGAAGTATCATGTCCTCTTTGAAGCATTGGTGCTTCATGTGCCAAGGTGTCTTTCTTTCTTATTATAATATTATATTCTTATGATTCCTATCAGGCCATGTATGCTTTCATGTATTTTGAGTTTATCATGCCGCCTGAAGCTACCAAATGCCTTGCTGTTTCATTTTGTATCCCTTGTTTGGAAAGTTAGCTCGGAAAGAGGGAAGGAAAAAGAAAAAAGAAAAGTAAAAAAGGGAACTTTTTTGGGTGGTTCTAGTTGTCATTTTTGTGACTATATGAGACGTTGCTCTCTTTCCAGCGCGACACACACCAAATGGGTTGCTTCATACCGGATTGCGCAGCAGCAAAAACACATGTCCATGAATCATCATTGTTTGGAAGTTTTGGGATATAAAAATCACTTTTCTGTGTTTTGTGCAATTATCTTCAAATATCTTTTGTCACATTCCTCTCTATACCTACCTTCTTTTTCCTTCCTTTTCTTCTCTGGCTACCAGCTCAATCCATACCAAAAGCCACAATCATTCAGTGAAGCTTGTGTCCGTCACCACATTTTAGTAGGTGATATATATAGCAGCAAATATACTTCTGCATTTAAAGTTTATTCTTTAGTTACATGCCCTCCTCAGATCCTCCATTTTTACCCAATTTTGCTGAGTTCTTACCACGTTGACCTTGTTTTCCTTATTGTTTACCTTTAATCTGTGTTATTGATAACTGAAGTTTGTCAATGACGTCACATTAACTTTTTGTTTTGGAGTAAAATTTTATTTAGTACTGAAATGTTTGATTGTTTTAATTTTGTTTCTTTTCCATAAATAATAAAATGATGCCCTGACATGGAATCCTTCAAAATTCAGGGATTTTGATGTTGAAGGAAACAAACCAAGCTTCGGAATTATCTTTGAGCAAGTCAATTGTTAACTAAAATGGGGTTTATTATTATTATTATTATTGTCTTATTAATATAAAAAAGAAAAAGAAAATCTAAAAAGGTTAAAAATTGAGGGCGATGAAGCCATCTTCTCCGGAATGACTCCCATTTCCAGAACTCAAGACTTTACAGTGTTTCACTTGCATCTTTGTTCATATTCTTTCATTACTAAAGAATAATCACACCTGAAACTAAAACTCCAGAGACATGAATATCCATTCCTGAAGCAAAAGAAAAAATGTTTAAAAATGTTTCTGACTCCAAAGTGAACTAAAACCCTGAGAAGAAGAAGATGATGATGATGCATGCTACAAAACTGGCAGCATCATACAGAGAGAAGGATTTTATGCATCTACAAGGTTTAAATTTAAACCACTATTTGTGATTCTGCATTATTATTTACTGCTACTGTCAAGCAGTTTCTTGTCCTGTTTGTTTGCAATCTTCCTGGATGATGATGAACACTTGCCAACAACTCCATGATCTTTCTTATCTTTCTTATTAGATGCTGATGATGCAGCAGCACAGCCATTGTTATGATGATGATGGGTTGGACCTGATGAAGCATCTGAGGCCATGGAATCATCACTGTCATCTTCATCTCTCTTCTTCAGTCTTCTTCTATCACCATCGAAGAAGCCATCTCCTTCTTCCTCAATGTTGCTGCAATCATCTTCTTCCATTGGAGAAGCAATGTACGTAGTCCATCCTGATTCACTGCTGCTACATCCTTCTGCAGCCATGCTTTGTCTTGAAGACTCCATTTTTGAAGCTGCGTCGCAATGGAAACATATATAGGGCAAGAAAGAGGGAAAGAAAGAAAGAATGTTAGGGTGGGGGGGAGAGAGAGGGGGATGAATGAGATGACTCTGTATAGTGTTGGTGAAACCTAAAGGCCTAACATGTTTGCCCTTTTTCTTTTTCCATTAAATTCATAGAACAACCAAGAAGTTTTTATTCTAAATTACAACAACAAAAACAAGTCTTGTTCACAGTGGAGTCAACTACATAAATTATGTAGGGTCAACTATATGAATTATATAATATTATGATGCTCTATCAACAATCTTCTTAAGTGTTTTCTTTAGTGTTATTTTACTCCTTTTTTTAGGGATCAAAACTATCTATTTTACTTTTTTCACTAATATTTTTCACAACTTTTTTTATATGTATCCAAATTATCTCAATTGTTTTTTTTAACTATCTTTTCCCCGATTACAATATTAAAAAACTCAGATTAATGAACACATTATTCATAAATCAGGTTTGCAGATTTAACTTAAAGCCATCTGTAAAATGAAAGAAAAGAATAAATTTTGATGAGGAAGGTCGTTGTCACATGAAATGGAAATCTGACTTTTAGTGCAGAATACAGATTTGATGTCCAATGGCACAACTGGAAAGAACGTAGAAGCCATGCCTTGGAGAGTATGGATCATGGAAAGCAGTGCCTTGAAAAAAAAAAAAAAAAACTTTTCTTGGGGTCAAAAAGCGAATTTCCATTTTTCACTTTAATTAAGATTGAGAGGCACCTTTGTATCATACCATAAATATACTTTTTGACTTAGTCTCTGCACAACACAGTAAGTACTATGCAACACACCAGTTGTTCCTCCCACTGCATAATAATATTGCAGACACAAACTCACTGTGATGCTTATGAAATTCTAGAAGAAGAAGAAAAGAAGATTTTGAGTCACGTTGATATGAAATTTTCTTCCACCTTTAGGGCAAAAGAAGTATTTTTTTTTTAAATCCAGCTGTATGGTATTTAGTATTATTGAGTGGTGTGTGTGTCTTCTTTTCTTTTCTTTTCTTTTTTTGAAGAAACCAATGTAAAATGTTCTTTTTCGTCATGTAAAATTATTTTGGGACCATTTTGCTCTATTCTCTTCTCTCTCTCTCTCTCTCCCCTCTCCCCTTTTTTTGTTTGATGTTTGCTTCCAATTTAAATAATTTTTATTTTCTGAGTATTATTCTTATGCATGGTAAGCTAATTTTTTCCAGCATTTTAGTGTGTGTGTGTGAGCGCGCGAGAGATTCAATTTATTTTTCTTCAATTGTCAAGCATTCTTTCCAAAATTCTATTATATCAAAACAAATTAGATTTTCAATTTTTGTACTAAAAAAGAGTCAATTATTTTCCCCTTTCCAATTTAAATTTTAGCATGTTATGCAGTAGTAGGTTCTTCCCATTCCTTTTGTATTTTTCTAAATACTATTCATAAGTTGGATATCTAAAAATGCAAGTGAATGAATATTTGAATTATAAGCACTAAGAATATGTCTTGTTAAGAAGGAAATAAAGTAAGAGATGATTGATTAGATATAAAATTTACAATGAGATGCATTTATTTATAGCCAAATGTGCAAAATTATGATTAATTATTTAAATATTATATGATACTCAAATCCTATATAATTTGATTTAATAGATTATGTTCCATTTTAGTTTATCCTTTTTTTTTTACCCTATTTAAGGTTGTGCATGTGAGTTCAAAATTATAAAATGAAATATAATAGTACATTGTTTTTTTGTTTGTATGAATAAAACATACTCCAATGTTGTTTGATAGTTTTATGGTGGACAAAAGTGACACCACTTGAACAATATTTGAGATTTATTATAAAATGGATGAAAGCAAATGAAGTGGATTATATTTTTTTTTTTCAATGTTATCCTTATGAGGTAGTTTATTCTTGTTATTATTTTATAGGTTTTTATGGTATTTTTTTTACAAACAGTTTTTATGGTATTTTAGATTTATGTAAGATATGAGATATATTTGTGTATTTTTGTTTATCTTTCTTTTTTTATAGCTGTTTATCTTTCTCAACGTAAATCTCTATACAAAGTATTAGGGTACGTTTGATTTTTGTTTTTAAAATATGTTTTCTAGTTTGAAATAAAGAAACAAATTTGGATAAGTGTTTTAAATGTTTTCATGGCTGTATCATCTTTTTATTCTTAAAAAACAAAAATGAAAACGCTTTAAAACTGTTTTTTAATTTTCAAAGCACATTATATTTGATTGTTATAAATTGCATTTAGCTATGCTTAATCACTATCACAGGCCATTATTATTAATCATTGACATCCACTACTACCAGTCATTTTTTAACCCTAAAATCGTTTTAAATTAGCATAATCAAATATATTTTTATTTTATTTTATTTTTTGAAAAATAAAATTTAAAATTAGTTCACAATATAATTTTTAAAAATAATTGAACAAACGCAAACAAATCTTTAGATTTTTTTTTTGTTTATATGTATTGTCATTGCCATCTTGGAAACTTTTGTGGGTTCTCATGTAATTAGGTATACCAGTTAGGAAGCAACCTAACCCAATTAGTTCACCTAAATAATAAATTATAAACTAATTACAACTTTGACTAGCTTTTTTTCTTCAAAAAAACAATTCTAACGTTTTTTTATTTGTCAATTTGCAATTCAATTATCCAATCTCCATCAAAAAGTTAAATCAAGGAAGACATGTGCAGCTTGAAAAAAATAGGTTGGCATTGTGATATTTTAAAAAATTAAATATGTAATTAAAATTAAAGACACCGTAAAATTGTTAACATTATTTTTGTATTACGTGTATTTTTAAAATTTTAGCATGACAAAAAAAGTAGCTATACAAGATATAGGGTTGAAACTGAAAAATAAATAAATGAATAAATAAGATAATTTTGAAATGGCATGATGATTAACATGGATAAGACTCTCCAATATTATATTTAAGTTTATTTTAATGATATATTATTTATGGTCCATGTGTTTCAATAGAGGGAAGGTGAATGGATTTAAACATCCCTTATTTGGCTTGGAGGTGGATGGAATGGAAGAATAAGATGATTAATTTTCTGTATCAGAAAATGTCTTTTATTTGTTTGGAAGAGAAGAAAAGTGAGAAAAAAATTAGAGGGACAAATTATGAGAAAAAATGTCAAATATGGTAAATATTTTTTTTACTATTTTTGACAATTTCCCTCTTAATTTCCTTTCCTCCCTAATTTTCTTCCCACCAAAATCAAGGGTTAAAGTATCTACACGCAGAGTAAAAAATGTGATTAATACATAAGAATATTTGTTACATCGGTAAATTTACACATAAAACGTAACAAATGCTGAATTGAAATTGGAGTAAATAAGAGTATAATAGGAAAAATCTTAATAAATGTTATTCTAAATTTCTAAAATGATATATATAAAATAAAATGAAACAATGTTTTTCTAAAAAACTTATTCAGATTGTTTAATATTGTAAGACATTTTTTAAAATATTATATTATTAAAAATGTAAGATATTTTAGATTGTTCAATATGCAATTAATAAGATTTTTCAAAATTAGTGTAATTAAGAAGGTTTTTTTAATTAAAATACTTTATTAAATAAGAATAAATAAAAAATTATAGTTTTAAAGATAATTAACTAATTCATTAAAAATATAATTTAATTAAATGTATCTAATAAAAATAAATGAAGGGAGTATATTTTAAAGTGGAGGAAGTAATAATTTTTTTATTGGTTAAAAGTAGGTTGAGGGCCTGAGAAGGAGAGATTTGGGTTTTACTATAATTAAAATGCAATCTACCTTTTATGTTGTGCTTGCTGATGAGAAAAAAATAGAGAGGAAATAAAACAAAATTAAGAAAATGGAAAGAGAAAGAGGGAGGATGTGCTTTTCTGTCCATATGCTTGGCTGACTAAGAAAAAATACAGAGAAGTAACAATTTCATATAAATAATAATAACTTTATTATTTGTAAAAAAAACATTTATATATATAATAAAATATAATATTTTAATATATTATTTATATAATTTATATGTTACTAACTGGATAAAAATATAATTTTAAATTATTTTATCTAATACTCGCAAAAATTATTTTATTCAATTTTAAATTATATTTCTTAAATTATTAAATAAATAATGATTTAAAATTTAAACAACAACCAAATATAAGTCATTTAAGCAAAATTAATCTAAAAATTTAGAATTAACATTTGTTTAATTATGTTAAAATTAGAATTTACAATTAGCAAAAGGTGGGAAGCAAAAATATTGTTGGATAAATTTAGAAATTGAGTTTTTTTTTCCTTTAAAATCTTCCCAATTTTTGAGAGAAAAAATGAAGGGAAAAACATGTGATCCTCTCTTGTCTGTTCCATTTTTTTTTTACTTAATCAAACTGGAGAAAATATTGTTCTCTCTTACTTTCTCTTTCCCTATTTTTCTCTCTACCAAGTATGGTGTTAGAAATTTCTCTATTTGGAGTGAAAGGAAAGAGCTTTTAAGATTCAATTATCTAAATATTGAGATGAAAGAGAACTCTCTTTCCCTCTAAAACCATAACCAATACGTCAATGTTAAAAAAAAGGGATAACACTAGATTGATTATTTTTTTAAATTATTATTACTCTCTTCATTTTAAATTATAAGACACTTTTAAGAAAAATTCTGTATTTCAAACTATAAAACATTTTGATAAAAATAAAATTTTATTAATGATATTTTTTTAATATTATCCTTTTCATATATTATCTTTCTTTAATATTCTTTTATCAATAGAATATTAAATGAAGTGTAATTTTAAAAAAATAAAATTATAAAAATATTTTAATAAATTTTATTAATATGTAATATTTTATTTAAAAATATATTATAATTTAGGATAGAGTACAATATTTCACAAGGTACCCATAATCGGAGAAAAAATATTTTAGTCATTTTAGAGATCGATTCATCTTCCGCATGCATCCTCCAAAATAATCCTTTAGTGAGGCTTTCGATATTCTTCCTTAATCTTTTGTTTGGTTGTAAATAAAAATAGGAA